CACACCCTTCCATTCTTCCCAACCATCGTGTGGTGTGTGGTCCTCGGTATGAAGAGACAGCGCCCCACGTTCCTCCTCTCCTCTCCTCTTCGTCCCCGTCCTACTCGACGGTCTGTCTTCTATAGTAGCACTGCCTTCGCGCCTCTTGCTCTCTGAATTGTCTCCCATTTCCCGCCGCCGTTTTGACATTTCGGCGCACCCTTCACACGTTTCGTGGCCCCATAGGGTGCTCCACCGAAGGCCCCAGTGGCAGGGCCCGTATGCAGTCTAATTTCTTTTTCGCGCACCCCTTGCACGTTTCGTGGCCCCACGGGGTGCCTCACCGAAGGCCCGAGTTGCAAGGCCCGCATGCAGTTCCACCCCCATTTCGGCGCACGCCTCACACGTTTCGTGGCCCCATAGGGTGCTCCACCGAAGGCAACCGTGGCAGGGTACGCATGCAGTTTCACCCCATTTCGGTGCACCCCTCGCACGTTCGTGGCCCCATAGGGTGCTCCACCGAATGTCCCAGTGGCAGGGTCCGCATGCAGTTCCACATCCATTTCGGCGCACCTCTCGAACGTTCCGTGGCCCCACAGGGTGCTCGACCGATGGCCGCAGTGGCAGGGTCTGCATGCAGTTCCGCTTCCATTTCGGCGCACCGCTCATACGTTTCGTGGCCCCACAGGGTGCTCGACCGATGGCCGCAGTGGCAGGGTCTGCATGCAGTTCCGCTTCCATTTCGGCGCACCGCTCATACGTTTCGTGGCCCCACAGGGTGCTTAACGCCGATGGCCCCAGTGGCAGGGTCCGCATGCAGTTCCACCCCTATTTTGGCGCACCCCTCGCACGTCTCGTGGCGCCGTAGGGAGCTCCACCGAAGGCTCCAGTGGCGGGGCCCGCACGCAGTTCCGCCTCCCTTTCGGCGCACCCCTCACACGTTTCGTGGCCGCGATCGTGTGCTCCGCACGGGGCTCCACCGAAGGCCTCAGTGGCAGCTCCCGCACGAGGTCCCACCTTGCATTTCGGCGCGCACACCACACGTGTCTTGGCCCCATGGGGGGGGGGGCTCCGCCGACGGCTCCAGTGGCAGCGCCCGCATGGCGTACCCGTGCCCATTTTGACACATCCGTCACATGCGTCGTGCCCCGATAAAGAGGTTCACCCAGGACGATACCCACAACTGCGTTACTCACAGCTGCACATGGCTTGGTTCTTCGCCATCTATAGTTGTTATTTCCGCTGCTACAGCTGCTATTCTGTGTGGGCCACAGTGACCAACGTTTGCAGGAAGTTGGTGAAGCATGTTGGCAGCACGCTGGTTTCAGACTTCATCGAGCAGCACAAAGGAGCGGCATCAAGGCCTGCCTGCCAGCAATTGAGTATTGCCATATTCGTCCAGTCATGCAGGGGTAGTCGAGTAGACGTTCTAAGCGTATTTGGTATGTTGCCGTGATATGTCGGACACTCTTCGCCTGGCCGTGCCGTGCCGTCTCAAGGCGCGACAAGTCATGCCGCATCTTCTAATGCAATGCTGTGCAGTGCCGCGTCGTATTGTACCATGCCAGGCCAACCATGACTTGTCATGCCATGCCGTCTCAAGTCATATGATGTAATGCGTCGCTGCTCAGCGTCAACTCATGCCATGCCATTCTCGCAGCAAGGGGGCATGGTTCTCAGTCCTTTTGGTCGTTCTCCTCTTCCTCCTCCTCCTCCTCCTCCTCTTCCTCCTCCTCCTCCTCCTCCTCCTCCTCCTCCTCCTCCTCCTCCTCCCCCTTCCCCCAACCTGCGTCGAGACACGGACGCGTGTCGAAACTGCACGGAGCAGGCTGGACGATTTGGGCCAAGAATCTGTTACTCCACGTCCAATCGGGTGGTCCTTCTTGAGCGGAGGAGGCGGAGGAGTAGCAGGGGGGTGAGGGATGGTGGATAAGGAGGCTGAGGATGACAGGGGGAGGAGGAGGACGAGGAGGGACGATGACCGCCCACACGTAGGGTGAGGCCTCCCATAGGCTGTTGGTGAATTTGGGGTGGTAACTCATCGCGATATGGTGGGGTGTCACGCACGCCCCCCCCCCGTTCCCTCGCTGCCTCGTTCCCTCCTCCCTCCTGCCTGACTCATTCCTCCTCCATGCGCCCTTCTTCTTCCTCTCGCTCCTCTCTCTCTCTCTGTCTCTATCCCTCTCGCTCTCCCCCTCTCTACATCTTCCTCCTTTGCGCCGCATTTTACCCCCTCCCCCCCCTTCTCGTTCAAGCCCGAGTCCGAGGCCACTGCAGGTGTTTTTTGCATTCGTCACCGCATGGAGCACTGGCAAAGCGAGCGAACCTTCAGGCGATTTCTTCTTGGGAAAAAACTCAGCCCACCCCTCCCGTCTCCTTCACCTCTTCTGGCTCCTCCCTCTCCCGTCCCTCCCCTCCCGCTCCTCCTTCTTCTCCTTCTTCTTCTTCTTCTTCTCCTTCTTTTCCTAATTCTTCTTCTCCTCCTCCTCCTCCTTCTTCTTCTTCTTCTTCTTCGTCTTCTTCTCTCTCCATCGCGGGCGCGCGCGTGGCCGCTGTGGGGCAGGCGACCTTCGGCCTCAAGTGGGCAGCGCCCGCGACGACGCCGAGAGCGAAACCTGGTCAAACTGGGCAGGAAGCGCTGCTGGTCGACCAAAGAACGAACGACACCACCCCACCCTACAGTCGGGGCCCTGAAGAAGGAACCCTTCTCGTTGGGGAGGGGCTCGACGTTCCTGGATTGTTTCACAGCTGGCCTCAAGATTTCCTTGTGTTCTCGATGGGAAATCGGAGTTTAACTTATGGAAAAAAAGGGCCTCGTTCCTTATTTAGGGTTCCTTAGGTCAGCGCCCCGACTGTACGGCCCTCCATGTTGCGCTACGGCTCATCGGGGCCGTAGCGTATACTACGCAAAAGCCCACGCCAGATTTCCTGGTATACGCTAAGCCCCGTGGGGCTTAGCGTATACCAGGAAATCTGGCGTGGTGCCGTTTGCTTTCTGGTCCAGTTGGTCTTCGTGCCCACCGTCTCCGTACCCATCTCGACCGCACGGATTCGTCCAGGTCAGACCGTCTTGGGACGCCGGTCCTGGCGCGACAAGCCTGGGGTGCACACCGGTTCGTGCCGCACACGGCCGTCGCTCACCACCCACCAAACCACCCCAACCCAACCCGAAGGCTAAGATTTTCCCTCGATTTCCAGTGGGGGGGGGTTCGGGAAACATCGAAAAAACACATGTGGAACCCTTACCCCCCCCAACCCGAAATTCGGGTCTTCGGGTTGGGTTGGGGTGGTCTGGTAGGCAGTCAGTCGCTGCCGCCAGGCTCTTGGGAGAGCGGACCTCGGCGACGACCTGGACAGGCTCGCTGGCGCTTCGGGGATCGGGGGGAGCATGCCGTTTTTTGCGGCTGCTCCCGAGAGGCCGGGCGCCTGCTTCCGCGCCCGTCCTCCATGGCCTCTCGGCGGCCGGGCCTCTTGCCTTCCAGCGGGCCCCTGCGCCCAACCCTCAGAGCCACTCCTTTTTCGGGCCGGGCGAAAGGGGGGGATTGGGAAAGGGGGGGTTACGAAATTTGCTGCATGCAGCTGGTTTCGGCCTCACCGAGGGGCCCACTCCTTGATACATAGCCGCCTCTGGCGCCGGGAGGCGCCGGGAGAATCAGCTACGTGAGCTGATTCTCAACCCCCCCTTTGCCATCCCCCCCTTTCGCCCGACCCGACTTTCCCCCAGTCGCGGATCTGTTCTGCCTGCTGCCCATACCGTTTTTTTTTCCTTGTCGACCAGAGGCTGCTAACCTTTGGGGCCTGATGCGATTATGTCGGAGGCCTACAGGTTGTCACCAACACCCTAATCGGCGGTGTGCCTTGACCGATGCAGGAGTGTCCCGATCTCGGTGATGGTGGTCTGATTCTGGCTTCCTAGGCGGCGGAAATATTACCACCAGCACCGAACTCCAGGATCATCTTCCCCCGGTGGAGGCCCCCCTCCGTGTTTCTAGACCTCCCCAATGGGGTCCAAGTAGACGGGGTCGGAGAATCACGCCGCATCGCCGATGCATCGTCGATGCGGCGAGATGTGTAGCCCGATTTGCTTCACGTCGACGTCGCCGATGCATCGCCCACTTCGACGATGCATCGCCGGTGCATCGCCGGTGCATCGCCGATGCATCGCCGATGCATCGGCGACGCGGCGCGATCCTCCGACCCCATCTACTCCGACCCCATCTGGGAGTCCTGTAGGCTCTAGGGAGAGTTGCGCCAGTTTTTGGTGCAATGGACGTCTCGCAATCCTGCGGGAGCGCTTCTCAGCTGACAGTCTACATTCGACGGCGTCCGTTCGAGGAGGCCTCTACAGTACCGTTTTTGATACATGCTCCGCGTGCGGATCATGTATTAAACATGCAAGGATTTAGTATAAACAACGATGAGTTCATGCATACATTTATTCATAATTTAGTCATGTATTAAACATCCAATATGATTAAGCATCATGTGTATTAAAACCTGCCCTGTAGTGTTGGTGTTGGTGTCCATCTCCAGGCCTCCAGCTGTGGCTGCGGCCTGGGCTGCCGCTCTCTGCCTCCCCGCCCGCCCCCGGAGCGCGCGCGGTGTCCGGCGCGGCCCGCCCGGCTCCGCAGGCGCGCCCGCGCGCGCCAGCGGGCGCGGGCAGGGCACGCTGCCGAGAGGCCTGCGGTGATGCCCAGGGCAGTGCTCGGGAGCCTTGACGGGGGTCAATGCAAACGGGGGTCAGCCAGGGCACCAGATCCTGCAGGATCCTGCGAAGGCCCCCTCTGACTGACCCGGGTCAGCGAGCCGCTCGTGTCGCGAGGCGGCCGCGCATATTGGCTGACCCGGGTTTGCGAAGACCTGCGTTGCAGTTTTTTTCCTGCATTGCAGTTTTTGGTTTCCTGCTGACCTGGGTCTGGATTGACCCAGGTCAGAAGATCCCCGAAGTGCGCGCGACTGCTGTGGAGGCGTTTCGCGGGAGTTAGTGGTCACATGCGAGCCCTACCCCTACCCCCCACGATTTCCGAGGGGAAGGGCGGGGTTCACTTCGCTCGGGAGCTCCCGAAGGGAGCCCCACTCTCCCCCTCAGAAACCGTGGGGGGTAGGGGTAGGGTTCGTTTACGGCCCCCTAGGGAGTCTTTCTGTTTGCTCCGTTGTTTCTGTCCGTCCCTGTGCTTTAGCTGCTCTTCAGCATGCGGCCGACGATCTTTCGGGATCTTGTGGCGTGCATCGTGTGCCTCCTGGTGTGCCTGTTTATCTTCAGCGTGTGCCTGCTGCTCGTCCTGATCCTGCTGACGTGCCTCCTGGGGGCCCTGCTCTTGACCACCCTGTGGTTCAGCATCATGCTCGTGTTGCCGTTCACCCTGAGCCTGCTGATGGATTCCCTGATCGTTCCGTTGCCGCTGGTGTTGTACGCTTTTCGTCGTCGTGCCGACGTACCTGTTGATCACGATTCTCTGTCGGTGGCTCATCTCGGGCCTGCTGATCAGCGTCATCGTCCTGAGCCTGCTGGGCCTCTTGATATGCAGAACCTCATTCTGATTAAGGAGTTGAACTACTTGAGCGGGATGCTCGTGACTCGCAGTGCGATGAACCTACTAGTCGTCATTCATTCAACGACATGGGCTTGTCGATCCTTGTGTGCCTGCTGTTGGTCGGCGTGAAGATGGCGTTCCTGAATCTCGTTCTGTCGCCAGTGCGACCTGGCGGATTGCGCGCCAGGCAGTTGCGAATGCTTGAGTCGAGACGAAACCTAACCCCCTGTCTGTTTCTAGCTAGCAGTCGCCGTGTGCACACACCAGTAGCACCACTCTAGGCTCTCATGTGTCTCCGGCCCTGTACCCTGACGGGCGGCCAACTGTGAAGTGCCAGCTCTTGTCTCGCGTGGGGCTTTCGCGCGGGTGCCGCCTTCGACGCTGTCTAGGATGTGGTCTACGCACACGCGAGATGCCCTTTTCTTGAGGACGTTCGTCTGTTATCTCTCCCTTATCTCGTTCCCCTTCGCTTTCGTTCCTCACCCCTGCCCCGGCCATCTTGGTTTTCTCTGTGTTCGTGCCCGGTCCTCTTTGCGACTCATTCGACTGCTAGCGTGTTTGACCATATGGTTTGAATATTTGTTTCTCATTTGTATATTAACCGCCCGCATTTCCGCCCCTTGTCTAATGCTCGTTGTGCGCGCAGGCAAAGGCAACTACCACATCGTGCTGGCCTGACTGTGCTGCTTGGATTCTAGCATCTCTTCTTCCCCTCCCCCCCCACTCCTGCTTCGCCCTCTCTCCTTCCGCTCCCTCCTCCGCTGCCGGCTCTCCCTCCTCCCTCCCTCTCCCTCCTGCCCTGCCTGGTTGTCACTCCCTCCCTCGACCTCCTCGCCGTCGTCCCCCTCCAACTCTGCTGCTCCTGCTCCTGCTTCCGCTCCTGCTCCTGCTCCTGCTTGCCCCCCCCACTCCCCCTTCCCCTTCTCCCTTTTCCTCGTTAAGCATAATACAGCCCGTAAACTTTATAACGCGATGAACTGGTGCCCCCAATTTACATTTAGGTCATCGTTTTTCCCAACCATGATGTGGTGTTGGGTGCTCGTTTTGAAAAGACAGCGCCCCGCGTTTCTCCTCCTCCTCCTCCTCATCATCAGCATCATCAGCATCATCAGCATCAGCATCATCATCATCATATCATCATCATCATCATCATCATCATCATCATCATCATCATCATCATCATCATCATCATCATCATCATCATCATCATCATCATCATCATCATCATCATCATCATCATCATCATCATCATCATCATCATCATCATCTACATCATCATCATCATCATCATCATCATCATCATCATCATCATCATCATCATCATCATCATCATCATCATCATCATCATCATATCATCATCATCATCATCATCATCATCATCATCATCATCATCATCATCTCATCATCATCATCAGCATCATCATCATCATCATCATCATCATCATCATCATCTCATCATCATCCTTCTCCTCCTCCTCCTCCTCCCTCCTCCTCCTCCTCCTCCTCCTCCTCCTCCTCCTCCTCCTCCTCCTCCTTCCCTCCTCCTCCTCCTCCTCCTCCTCCTCCTCCTCCTCCTCCTCCTCCTCCTCCGCCTCCTCCTCCCCCTCCCCCTCCCCCTCCCCCTCCCCCTCCTCCCCCTCCTCCCTCCGTACTCCCGCTGCCTCCATGTTGGCGCACCCCTCACACGCTTCGTGGCCACATAGGGAGCTCCACCAAAGGCCCAAATGGCAGGGTCCGCATGCAGTTTCACCCTCATTTCGGCGCACCCCTCGTACGTGTCGTGGCCCCGTTAAGTGCTCCACCGAAGGCCCCAGAGGCAGGGTCCGCATGCAGTCTCACCCCCATTTCGGCGCACACCTCGCACGTTTCGTGGCTCCATAGGGTGCTCAGCCGAAGGCCCCTGTGGCAGGGTCCGCATGCAGTTCCATCCCCATTTCGGCGCACCCCTCGCACGTTTCGTGGCCCCGTCAAGTGCTCCACCGAAGGCCCCAGTGGCAGGGTCCGCATGCAATTCCACCCCCATTTCGGCGCACCCCTCACACGTTTCGTGGCCCCACAGGGTGCTTCGCCGAAGGCCCCAGTGGCAGGGTCCGCATGCAGTTCCACCCCATTTCGGCGCACACTTTACACGTTTCGTGGCCCCATATGGTGCTCCACCCACGGCGCCAGTGGCAGGGTCCGCATGCAGTTCCTCTTCCGTTTCGGCGCACTTCTTTCACATTTCGTGGCCCCACAGGGTGCTCCACCGAAGGCCCCAGTGGCAGGGTCCGCATGCACTTCCACCCCTATGTCGGCGCACCCTCGGACGTTTCGTGGCCCCATAGGGTGCTCCACCGAAGGCCCCAGTGGGCAGGGTCCGCATGCAGTTCGACCTCCATTTCGGCGCACCCTTCACACGTTTCGTGGTCATAGTCTGGTCTACCGAAGGCCCAAGTGGCAGGGTCCGCATGCAGTTGCACCTCCATTTCGGCGCACCCCTCGCACGTTCGGTGGCCCCGTAAGGTGCTCTACCGAAGGCCCCAGTGGCAGCGCCCGCACGCGGTTCCACCCTGCATTTCGGCGCACCATTCTCACGTTTCGTAGCCTCACATGGGGCTCCACCGACGGTTCCGGTGGCAGCGTCCGTATGGCGTACTCGTGCCAATTTTGGCACACCCGTCACACGCATCGTGGCCCCGGAGAGAGGTTCACCGAGGACGATACCCACAATTGCGTTACTCACAACTGCACATGCTTGGGTCCTTCGCTGGGATAATTTAGGGGTATCCCTAAACATGTGGGTGGTTCTGCCTGGGACATCTGCAAAGCAGACCCCCTATCCCTAATGTTGCTGGCCTTCCTAGCTTAGGTCCCCTCCCGAAATATTAGGTCTACTTTTATAACTTATCATTCCCCACCGCCACTCCGCCCCCTTTGGGGGCCGCCGTTGCGGATGCGTGCTGCTGCGAAGGCCCCTGGTCGTCGTTGGCCCCGACGGTTTCGAGCTCGGCAAGGAGCTTCCTTGGTTTGTGCTCGGCCCAGATGTAGGTCTAGGCCTTCCAGATGGGGTCCGAGTGGACGGTATCGACGGATCGTTCCACATTGCGATGCGGAGTCTATGCGGCTCGACGTGGAGACAGATCGTCTCCACGCCGATGGCGCCGATGCATCGCGATGCATTGGCGATGAATCAGCGATGCTGCGCGATCCTCCGACCCCATCCACACGGACCCCATCCAGGAGACCTCCAGTCATGCAGCTTGGGAGCAAGAGATGCATGATGGAGCAGGTGTCATGTACGAGAGAGATTCGGATATTGTTAGAGGAGGCGATCGGCGGCCTTGTGAACGAGTTGCACCATTGGAGTATGAGCGCCGCTGAAGTCGCTTGGGTGTTTCAGAAGAGAGGATGGGTAATCAATGATCGGGGAAGCGGGAATCACTACGCAGGCTTACTTGAAGATCACGCCTGGCTTCGCATCCAATTGCGCTATTTGCTGCAATGTGGATCGGACATCGTTGGTGAGTTTGCTTTCAGACTCGCGATTTCCTAGGTTTCCCTGCTCTGCAGGGGATGGGGAGGCTGGAAGGGAGGGAGAGAGAGACAGGGATGGAGGGAGAGATGGGGGGGGAGAGAGAGAGAGAGAGAGAGAGAGAGAGAGAGGGAGAGAGGGACCAACGCAAGCCGAACACGCGCCAGCTGCATGCGAACATCGTGTGGCGGGTATCCCGTTGCGCCACTCTCCTCTCCACCTTCCTTTCTATCCCCTCCCTTATTCTTTCCCTTGCATTTTTAGTTCCCAACCATCCTTTGGTGTTGGGTCCTAGTTTTGAAGAGACAGCGCCCCACGTCCCTCTCCTCTCCCCCTCCTCCTCCCCCTCCTCCCTCCTCCCATCCCTTGCCTTTGCCCTTCGCACGTCCTCCATGAGGTGCTCCACCGAAGGCCCCAGTGGCAGGGTCCGCATGCAGTACCACTCCTATTTCGGAGCACCCCTCACACGTTTCGTGGCCCCGTACGGTGCCCCACCGAAGTCACTGGTGGCAGGGTCCCCATGCAGTTCCACCTCCATTGCGGCGCACCCCTCACACGTTTCGTGGCCACATAGGGTGCTTCAAAGGAGGTCCCAGTGGCTGGGCTCGCGTACCCCTCACACGTTCTGTGGCAGAATAGTGTGTTCTCCAACGAAGGCCCCCATAGGGTGCTCCGCCGAAGGCCCCAGTGGCCCCGTTCGCACGCGTCCCAGCTACCCATTTCGGCGCACCCCATGCCATAGTGGCAGGGTCCTCTTGCAGTTCCACCCCTATTTCGGCGTACTCCTTGACACGTTTCGTGGCCCTATAGGGTGCTCTGCCGAAGGCCCCAGTGGCAGGGTCCGCATGCAGTTCCACCTCCATGTTCGCGTGCCCCTCACATGTTCTGTGGCCCCATAGGGTTTTCTCCAACGAAGGCCCCAGTGGCAGGGTCTGCATGCAGTTTCACCCCCATGTCAGCGCACTCCTCACACGTTTCGTGGCCCCATAGGGTGCTCCGCCGAAGGCCCCAGTGGCAGGGTCCGCATGCAGTTTCACCCTCATTTCGGCGCACCCCTCGCACGTTCCGTGGCCCCGTCAGGTGCTCTACCGAAGGCCCCAGTGGCAGGGTCCGCATGCAGTTCAACCCCTAGTTCGGCGCACCCATCGCACGTTTCGTGGCACCATAGGGGGGTGCTCCGCCGGAGGTCCCAGTGGCCTCGTTCGCGCGCGTCCCCGCTACCCATTTCGGCGCACCCCTCGCACGTTTCGTGGCCCCACAGGGTGCTCCAGCGAAGGTCCAAGTGGCACCGTCCGATTGCGTCCCCGCTGCCAATTTCGGTACACCTCTCACACGTATCGAAGCCCTATAGGGACCTCCT